ATATGAAAAAAAAAGTTTTTCTATTCGTTACTTTCTGAAAAGATAAGCTCATCGATGTGAAGGGAATTTTTTTAAGAAAAGTTAAACCTAAAAAGAAACGCCACCTGGTGGATTATATTTTGATAAAAAAATTCTATTCGTTACTTTCTGAAAAGATAAGCTCATCGATGTGAAGGGATTTTTTTTAACAAAAGTTAAACCTAAAAAGAAACGCCACCTGGTGGATTATATTTTGATTTGTATTCTCTAGTTTAATGGAACGATTGTTCTTAAAATAAAAAGAAAGCATCTGTTTTTGTTGGTTGTTCTTATAGATAGACAGATAAATAGATAGATAGATATCAGGATGAAAATTTAGAGTTTTCTTAATAGTTATTTTCGTGTTTTTCCAGAATGTCGGGCCTTGCATGGCCAGGTGGTTAGGGAGCTTGACTCGCACTCTGCGGGTCGCAGATTCGAATCCCCGTCCCACCAAACATGCTCGCCCTTTCAGCTGTGGGGGCGTTTTAATGTGACAGTCAATCCCACTATTCGTTGGTAGAAGAATAGCCCAAGAGTTGGAGGTGGGTGGTGATGACTAGCTGCCTTCCCTCTAGTCTTACATTGCTAAATTAGGGACGGCTAGCGCAGATAGCCCTCGTGTAGCTTTGCGCGAAATTCAAACAAACAAACCAGAAAGTCGTGTCGCTTTTGCTCGTCGTTGTGTCTTCAACTACTTAAGCCTTATTCAGATACAGAAAACGGAAAATTGATTTGCTATAAAACTTAAAACAAAAGATCTCAAAGATCACTCGGACTATTTATAAGGGCGATCTTATATCAGAGATCCGCTTCATTACTTTCCAACCCACGTTACGGTATCTTTCCTACTACTATACAATATCTTAATTACCCTGTATTGAGTTATTTCTTGATATATCAATGGCTCTTGTAACACTGATACTTCAGCGCCTATTAGTTGTAGCTTAACCTCCTTTTTTTTAAGCCTCGCTGAAAAGTTATTGGATATCTGAATCATGTGACTCGATGGTAATGTTTCATTGGGTATTACTTTCCTGAATTACATATCATGCTTCTCATTGCAGGATAATATAGTCCTGTAAATATGCCATTATAGTTTTGTAATCTTCAGAACTAATTCGTTTATGACACTAGATTATGGCGCCATCTACGTTTATAATTAAGTTCTATGAAGGAATTTTCGAGCTTCTTCGTCGTGAATACCAAGTACAGAATGGAATATTTATTTTGTTTCAGGCTCAATATGAAAAGAAGTACTGGAAAGGCATGAAAGAAAATAAGACTCCCAAGGACGTTGTTAAAGAGAAAGAAGAAAAAGGTAAGACTGGTTTAGTCAGTTCATCCGAAATGGGGACTGTTTCTTATGGAGTCCTCCTTCCATAGTTTGGTCTTCAGGCCTATTCTTAGTAGTTCACCAGATCTGGTGAACGATTCATAAGGTTAAACATTGGAAAAGTCCAACGACGCTAAAAAATAGCTAGGATATATATATCTCTTACAAGCCCCCCAGTGGCACAGCGGTATGTCTGCGAACTTACTACGCTAGAAACCGGGTTTCGATACCCGTGGTGGGCAGAGCACAGATAGCCCATTGTGTAGCTTTGTGCTTAATTACAAACAAATCTCTTACATTTCTCTCTCTTTATTCGAAGTTTCTGTTTACTTTTATAAACAAACTATCTTATCTTGTTTTTGTCTCTAATACGTTGTATTTGATTTGAAACATATCAGTCTCACACACTGCTTTATGAACAGTTACCAACAAAATCCCCCCCACCACCACCACGAGGAATTCATTACTCAGTTGAATTAAGAGACAAACCACAAACTTTATTACATAATTTTACAATTATTATAGTAATCACCACTAGATGGTGGGCTTTTTTTCTTTTTTTGTAAAAAAAAAGTGCACAGCAAATGTCCCCCGGTAGACAGCAGTAAGTCTACGGACTTACAACGCTACAATTCGGGGTTCGATTCCCCGCGGTAGACACAGCAGATAGCCCTATGTGGCTCTGCTCTAAAAACAAACAAATAAGCACAGCGAAAACATTTGTGTCTGTAGTAAATTTAATAGTGATCGTAAAACGAAGTGCTTAACAGTGTGATAAGTGTAGCAACCGTTGTTCAAGGAACTATTGAACGAAATTATTAGCAATATTTCCCACATTAAAACCTTTTTTCATTTTGCAATATTTCAACCACAACAATACTATCTCTGTTTTCTCTTTTTAAATTAAATTTAGCTTTGTGAACTGATTTTATAGCCAGCAACTCGATTAAACCTTTCATCTTTATTCAATGCAAATAGCATACAACGGTTTGGTTTTAAGGCATCAGACCTACCCTTGTATGTACACCTCGATAGCTCAGTGATAATCTTGGGGGTTTATAATGCTAAAATTCAAGGTTTGATCCCATAGCGAGCACAGCACAGATAAATCATCTAGTAACATTGCGCTTAACAACAAACAAATTTTCTTATGTCAGAATTCAATGAAAGGATAACTCGTAATGGAATTACAATACCAAATTTTCTAAAGTTGGCTACACTTTATATGTACCCAACCCAGTGGAACAGCAGTAAGTCTACAAGTTTACGACGCTACAAATCGGTTTTCGATATCAGAGCACAGATAGCCCATTGGTTAGCCTTGAGCTCGCTAAGATTACCGATAGCCCATTGGTTAGCCTTGAGCTCGCTAAGATTACCGATAGCCCATTGGTTAGCCTTGAGCTCGCTAAGATCACAGATAGCCCATTGGTTAGCCTTGAGCTCGCTAAGATCACAGATAGCCCATTGGTTAGCCTTGAGCTCGCTAAGATCACAGATAGCCCATT